TGCAAACTCTGCCTGCTCCATCCCCATCCACATACTCTTCTCATTAAAGTCCAAGTCAATAAAACCCCCACACATGTGATCTCTGCATTACTTCCAGTTTTTGGAGTTATTTTTCCAGGAAATTTTTTCAAAAAACAAATGAACTCTTTAAGGCATAGTCTCTAGTCCAGTGATGGCGAACCTTTTGAGCTCGGTGTGTCAGCATTTTGAAAAACCCTAACTTAACTCTGGTGCCATGTCACATATAGAAATTTTTTGATCTTTGCAACCATAGTAAAACAAAGAATTATATTTTTGATATTTCTTTTATATATTTAAATGCCATTTAACAAAGAAAAATCAACCAAAAAAATGAGTTCGCGTGTCATAGGTTCGCCATCACTGCTCTAGTCTCTTTCTCAGGCTGCAGTGATGGTGGATTCCTAACGTCATGAGGCTCACCTCCAGGGCCCTTCCCTTACCCAGGTTCGTGGCCATGCTTTGGGGGCTCTGGCTACAGGGCAGTTGAATGGGAGACACTTAATTGGGGCTCACGGGACATGTTTATGTGGCTTCCAGTCAAATCTGCACATGGCTAAATCATCGCTTGCTGCTCTGCTGGAGGAATGGGTTCCAGGAATCCCACCCCCGCCCATCGCTCCTCACCCAGCGCCCTAGGAGGGCGCAGAGCAGGGGGCGCTGCCCACCTCACAGGCATCTTCCTCCCATTAGGCGCTGGCGGCTGGGCGATGTTGTAAGTCGTATCTGTCACAACGCAGTTCAACAAAACCCCCACCACCTATGGTCTCCGCATCACTTCCACAGTGTAGGGGCGAAAGCAGAAAAGCCCCACCAGCTACTTCAACCTGCACACACAGGAAGGCTGCCGGGAGGCCAGCTCTTGATCCAACTTTATCATTGTTTTGGCATTTAATTGACACAATCACTTCTCACATCAGAAGAGGTTAGGGACAGAAAGAGAATATCATTCTCAATACAATTCTATGCTCATAGTAGTGTTCTATGGCTCTATGGTACACTAATCATGCGCTTTTCACATGTTGTACTCTGCACCTTTCAGGATCACTACAGTACAATGTCCAAGTAGAATATTTTCTAAAACTCATGCTGTTAAAAGACCCAATGCCAAGCAACAGGAGTCCATTGCTAATTACTGTTTATATCCTAACGCTGATATCCTGACACACACACACAGATGGGGCTTGCTCTCTCATGACAAGAGCAACACATTCATTAAAGAATTCTCTGGAGAGACGCTCTGTGAAAGGAAGCAGAGAGCAGACCTGCCGTCCAGCCAAGGCCGGAAGCCAGCCCCTCTCTGCAGCCGCCCACCCCGCAGCTCCGGACTACGGTGGGCACAGCCTCGTCTCTGAACCAGAGGCCATGGACGACGCTGTGGGCATGCAATGAGGCCCTTGCTGCCGCGGCAGGTGGCCGCTGGCGATTCTGCATTTATAAAATGCTTTTTAAGGGGTGTTACACTCATCGCATACATTTTATTTTGGTTTTTACTCATCTTTTCCTACAATTGTATGTGATAAGGAATCGTGTAGATTATGACACAGACTACCATCTAGTTAGAGGCGGGTATTTAAAAAACAAAACACAGCCCAGCCGGAATGTGCACTGAAAGGTTAGGTTGCAGGTTCAATTCCCAGTCCGGGCACACATGAAAGGCAACCAAATGATCAATGTTCCTCTCTCACATTGATGTTTTTCTCTCCCTCTTTCTCTCTCTCTCAGGATGTCCTTGGTGAGGATTAAAAAACAACACAGAGGTAGGTCTCTTGGCTTAGCCACTTTCAAGCCAGAGAATAACTTTTTAAGAATCATGGAAGCATAGCAAAGCCATTCCTAGTACAAGTTGAAGTTCCTCAAGCCGGCGGAACCCTGTGGCTCCAGGTGTACTTGACCTGTGGACACTGCAAGCCAGTCCCTGAGAGGCAAGGAAACCACAGAGCGTAGGGGATTGGAGAACTGGGGGATCGGGACACAGGCACCATCGCTGATGCCTGTCTTGCCTCTGCACACAGATTCAGGTGGGCACAGTGCCCCAGCAGGAGCCTAAGGCGAGGGAACATGTCTGACCGTGTCTGGAGGTGGGTGAGGGTGGGCCAGGCTCTTTATATGAGCTGAGGAACCTGCTGGGACACCAGTCATCCTAAAGCAGGGCCCACAGGGGTGGGGAGGAACATCAGAGGGGAGTGGGATTTTGAAAGGATTCTGGAATGCCTGTCACTTGGGTGATTGTCCCCAGGGTGAAGGGGCTGAGGGAAACCTAGGAGGCATTCATGCAAATGAGATATTTACATGAAATCTCCAGGAGATATGAGAGCAGAAGAGGAAACAGCTCTGCGGCTCACACAGCCCAGGGTTCTGCCGCAGAGGACGCGCTGGGCACCAGCTCAGCACAGACAAAGCCCAGGTACAGCCCCAGCCTGGCACCGAGAGGAGAGGCGAGGGCATTCATTAGACACCCAGGCTGCACCAAAGGCACAAACCACAAAGAAAGGGGGCAAACATCTGGCAACTTAAAATTTTAAATCATCTATTAAAAACAAACTCAGGAACAAGATTAAAAGACAAGTGAAAAGTTGAGACAATGGCCATGTCATACTCTACCAACCAAAGATTAATATTATTTCAAAACACTATTATAATAAATATGGTAATCATTATCGCCACCACAAATCTCCTCAGAAAAGGAAAGGAATAGCATGAACAGGCAATTCACCAAAGGAGAAATATAAATGGCAAATAGGTAAATCTTTAAAATGGGCAACCACATTAGAAACCAAAGAAACGTGGCTACCTGGGACTACAAGCCTCTAGTTGTAAACTGTATTTTACTGTAGTCCTACCACCAGTCTAAATGTCTAGTTGGGCGAGGCGGGTGTCTGGGCTTTTGGATTAAAATCCCAGTTCTCCTACACACTGACTGTGGGATGCTGGATAAATTATTTAGCCTCTGTTAACCTCAGAACTCTCATTTGTAAAATACAAGTAACACTACCACCTACATTACAGTGATGTCATGAGGAGTGAACAGAATAGTGCGTACAAAGCACCCACAAGTAGTAAGCATTCTCTAGGTGTCTGCTATTTCATTAGCACCTACTCTGATATGCTGGGTAATCATGAGACTATCTGGCTAATCAGAAACCTGGATCTGACTTCTCCCAGCTTGTAGTTACTCCAAGATTATGTACACACACACACACACACACACACACACACACACGAGAGAGATCATAAAAAAGTGTTATTAAAGACTGAAATACTAGTGCCAAAATAATGGGAACAATTAACAATTATTTGGGTCTTGATTTTCAAAAGGCCACTCCAAGTATAATTTGGCTCCAGAGTAATTCTTGGCCCCACTATTTTTCTGTTAGCAGAAACACTTTACGTGTGCTTTTAAATACTGAGGCCAAAGTCAGGGTTAAAAGACAGATCTGCAACTTAAATTCAGGAGTTCCTTTATCAAAAGGTACTTTCAAGTCATGAATCAAATTATTTTATCATTTTAGAACTGATATTTTAAATATGATCATGTTGAAAAGGTTAAATAAGTAACTTCTTTCCTTGGGGAATATATTTTTAAATATGTGCATGATGATCTATTTTTAAATATGTGCATGATGCATATATTGGGAGTTCTGTATTAAAGTGATTCAAATGAAAAGTAAAATTACTAAAACTGAGCTAACAGGCTTAAGACACTAACAATGATTTCCAGGAAAACATTTTACAAATATACTTCTTAACATACAAACCCTCAGTATCACGTGTAATTATAGCAACAAAAGTCACCTAAATCCCCAAACCAGAGCTAGGAAGCCTCTGGACTGAACTTGACAGTCTCTCCCCCACAGAACCCAGCAACCACGGAGGCGCAGATGAGCGGAAAACCATGGAGGACGGATGGACAGAGACAGAAACCACTGCCCTCAGGCACTTAAGTCACCTTTACACATCGGACAACAGGCATCAGTGTTATATTGAGGGAAATCAAGGAGAAAATCAAAAGACGAAGGGAAAGAATTGGTGGAGGGGGGCTGGCGAAGGTAAAGAAAGACTGGCCCATGCAGACGAACATGGAAACACAGAGAAAAAGAAGCTGAGTTCAAGGCAGTTAGAAGAAGACGGGACGGGACTCAAAAAGACAGAGAAAGGAGAACAGAAATGGGCAGGTGCACAGTACCACGCCGGCCACGGGAACCAGATAGCAAAGAACACAGGTTTACGAAGCAATTCGCTTCTCTTGCACCCCTTCTTCCAGGAAAATGAGAAAGACAGCCAGAGTGCTGTGCTTCTGCAGCTCTGGGCGCACCGACAGCCCTGACACCTTCCACCGGTCCCACGGGCTGGGCGATATTCACCTAATGGTTGATTCTGGCCAAGGTCTAGAAATTGTTCACTCACACACCTGACAATTAAAAATATGACATATTCTGCTGCGTATGCTACAGAAGAAGGCTGGAAATAGTACACAACACATCCTCTGCAGTTTGCGACACTTCACAAGAGAAACACCACGGATCATTCCCCCTGGTGCTGCTAAAGGCATTCCAAACCGGCAGACACACTTGGTTTCAATGAATCAGTCTTGCAACTCTCATTTTAGCTTGAAATTGGCAAAGTCTCTTTTACTTCTTACACATAAAAACCTCACATTTTAACCGTAATAAAGCGTGCGTCACCTTCCCTCTGGAATTTTAAAAGGTATCACCCATTGGGGTAATGAAGAGGATGTTTGTGAACTTGCTTCCTTGAAAACATTTTAACATATAACAGAAGGAAACTTACCTTCTTCTGCTTTTCGCCTAAGTGAGTCAATCCTATGAAAGTTCTTGGTTCATTCATAAAACAATCCTGTTTGGGTCTTACCGTGGAGTAGCCAAGTTTTCGATTCCTTTTTATTTCTTTCCTCTGAAGAAATTATGTAGAGAAGTCACCAGATAAGCCTCTGATTATAAACCAACTCCAAGATATTGTTTGACAATGAGCTGTTTTATTAAACTTGATACATGTACTATATATAAGAATTCTGAAAAATAACGGTTATCAAATTATTTTGGATCTAGGTCTCTGCATTATAAAGTCTGTCCCAGAAAGATGCCGTGTCACTGTCTCCCGTGGCTGTAACCCACGGATGACCAAGCAGCAATGTCGTCTCCTGGTAGGACAAGTTTCAGTGGACTTGCCCATCAAAATAAAAGTCCTGGCCCCCATCTCTACACGGTGCCATGTCCAGACAGGTGAGCTAGAGGAAGCACCTGGGCCAGCCCTACGCCTGCGCTTGGCACGAGGTCCACACAGCGTCAGCCCGGGGCAAGCCATCTTCCCCTCAACCGGACAACTCTACGTGAACTATTCCGAGACTCCTTGCAGGGGTGCAACTTCTAGAAAAAAGAGAGTGACAGAGAGGAGAAGGTCAGAATCAAGCATGTCAAACATGTGGTCTGCCGGCCGCGAGTTTGACATGCTTGGCCTGAATATTGAAAGGAATAAACAAATGATCAAACTGAGTTGCGCCGAAGTGGAGGGGAGGGAGGAGGAAGGGAGAAAACGAGCAGCTGGCCCTGACCTGGGGCTTGTGAAGGCCACCCCTTCCCTTACCAGGCGTGGGCGGCTCCGCCGTGAGGTGCTTGTGGCTGCTGAACAGCTCGGTGGAGTCTTGTTCTGTTGCCCTTTCCTCCAGGTCTGACTCTGGAATCGGAGCGCAGCCGCCTAGTTGGAAAACACAAATGATACTCTCAGAGCTGGGCCCCCAAAATCTGCCCCTTCAGCGGCAAGGGCAGCTGGAAAAAAGTGCCAATCAACCATATAACAAATGATGTGACAACCGTCTTCAAGAGCGGACCAGAAAGAATAATCCTATTATATGTCTCTCTTTGGTGAAAACACTGGGAATGAGTTATTGCCCCTAAAGACATATTATACTGACGACCGATCACTTAGCAACAGCAGCGATGGTGTTGCCTTTAAGCTTTCCTTTCTGAAGTCAGAAAGGACAAAACCTAGTGCGTCTGGGACATCACACGATAGCACGCTTCAGCAGACATTCCCTCCAACACCAGAGCATCAGAAGCCATAGGATAGCAGGGCCCACTGGCCACAGGGGACGAGCCCTTCCTGGGGTGAAGAGGAAGGCTGCTGGTGACGTGGGCTGGTCTCTGGAATCTGACTCTATCCCTGATGACCAGCACTTTCCAGGACAGACGCAGACGCCTCCTAGTTCAGCAGCAAAGCCACACACTGCATTGTGGGAGCTTTCAATCCCACGTCAGTTCCAAGTGACGAAGGGTGGGCTGGCACCACACTGGGTGTAGGTACCTCATCCTCCCCACTGAAGTCCTGCACGGGAAACTCGTGAGAATTTCCTGACAACGCTACCACTCGAGTGACCCATCTGCCGTTTCCTGGATGCATACAACATGCCGTAGACGGCACAGGTTTCCCACAGCCAGTCTTCTTGTGAATGAAGTGTGATTTTTTCCCACTGAGGGTTTTCACACACTGAGCCCAAAGCCTCACACTTAAGTTGAGCTTTACAGGTGAGGAGATTTATGAAGAAAGACGGGGGGTCAGCCGCATTCAAATGAGAGGAAGTGGCAGGACCCCAGGTCTGAGGAAAACACACCTTACCATTCATTCCTCTGTGTTGTCTCTGAAAAAGAAATGGATGCCGAGGAAAACTCAAAGGAAAGCATTTCCACATGCATGAAAGAAGCATCAGCGTTAGAATCACTCATCAGGGCAACAGAGCTGGCCCTGCTACCTCTGCACTCGGCAAGGGGCCCATCCGGAAGAACCAGGCGTATTTTTTTTTAATATATTTTATTGATTTTTTACAGAGAGGAAGGGGAGAGAGATAGAGAGTTAGAAACATCGATGAGAGAGAAACATCGATCAGCTGCCTCCTGCACATCTCCCACTGGGGATGTGCCCGCAACCCAGGTACATGCCCTTGACCGGAATTGAACCTGGGACCCTTCAGTCCACAGGCCGACGCTCTATCCACTGAGCCAAATCGGTTTTGGCCCAGGCGTATTTTTTACATCAAATTTATTGGGTGACGTTGGTTCACAAAGCCATCGGTGTGTTAACAGGCTTATTTTTAATCTCTTTCCCAAGCCCATAGATCATGGTAACAATAACGATCATTATTAAGTGCTTTCTAAATGCTAGAGACTCTGCCCATGTTATCTCACTTAGCTCCTACAAACCACACCACGGAGCAGGTGTTATTATTCTGTTTACGGAGAAGAAAACGAAGCTCCCACAGATCCGGTCCCTCATGACTTTTGCTGCCAGGTCTCCGTTGGCTCGTCTTGGCTGTGACCAAGTCTCGGGCTCCCCTGGTTTCTGAGGGCCTGACCTGGTCTGAGTATTGGGCAGGTGTCCTGCACAATGCCCGTCCACGGAACCCTGTCTGGTGGTTTTCTCATGATCAGACTGGGGGGAGACTTTAAAGGATCCTTTTCATAAATTCTTAGTAGGAGTGTCTCCAGGGGCTCCTTCTCCTCTATCAAAGGTAGAAGCCAGTGGGCCCTGGCTGGAGAGGCCACTCCAGGGGAAGGAGGCCAACAGCAAGGTGAGGCTACACCAGCCGTGGGCAAACTATGGCCCGCGGGCCGGATCCGGCCCGGTTCAAATGAATAAAACTATTGAAATAAAAGACCGTACCCTTTTATGTATTGATGTTTACTTTGAATTTATATTAGTTCACACAAACACTCCATCCATGCTTTTGTTCTGGCCTTCCAGTCCAGTTTAAGAACGCATTGTGGCCCTCGAGTCAAAAAGTTTGCCCACCCCTGGGCTAGACTGTGAAGTTCCAGCAGTGGATGGGCTGATCCAGCTGGAGGACCCAGGGCAGGTTACTAGTTGCCTCATCTATAAAATGAGGGTCTTACTGAGCACCTTCATGAGGCTCAAGAGACCATGGACACCTAGCACAGTGCTTGGCATATGGTACATTTGATCGTCTCTGCCTTTTATTCATTTTCTTGGCACAGAAGCACTTTCCACACCATTTCTATGGATCAGAGAACTTTCGCTCTTGGTTTAACCCCCTTCATTGAGAAGAGAGCAGAACAGAGCTCAGAGAGGGTGGCTGAGGCCCCTGAGGGCCCAGAGCGTGTTCCGGGATCTCCGGTGCCCAAACCATTGGCACTTCCTCAAGAGCATCCCTTTTTCCAGAGAAATCTCCGTGGGCTGGCTTGTACTGACTAGCACTTCCTTTCAGCGACACAGAAAATCACAGGCTGCAAGCTCTGCTTTGGGTATATCCTAGAACTTTGCTGACTTATTTTCTTGCCACAGTGGCCTTGGCAATCAAGTAGGTGCATGGGCATGAATATTCCATTCCTTCAGGGAGGAAAAAGTCTTTTCTTCATTTTTCTTCATACTTTAAGAGGAATGGAACAGGAGACACTGAGAATCACAAATGACCGCAGACCTTGCTCTGACTTGCCAACCAAAGAATCTTCAGTTCATGGGCCTGAACTGCCACTAAGAATTAGAAACAGCAGAAACCTCAAAATATACACCAATGACATTTTTCTTTTCATCAAGATATACTTGATGGATAACGTGTTTTTTGAGGTTAACATTCAGATTTTATTTCAAAGGCTTCTAATTCATGTGAAGTGTGGGGAATGGGTGCTTTGAAAATAATATTTCACTATCTTATTAGTAAATATGAAGAGCTTCCCTGAGGGACTATGAGTAGTTAAAAAATTCCCTATAAATATATTCATTTGAAAAAGTTCTATCCTCTCTCTCTCTCTCTCTCTCTCTCTCTCTCTCTCTCGCTCTCTCTCTGTAAGTGTGCACACATATGCACACAGGCATACAGACATATATGAAAGTTTTCCTGATAATTCTCCCCTACTCTGTTTATTTTTCTAGTTTTTTAAAATACACTTTTGCCCAGCCAGTGTTGCTCAGTGGTTGAGTGTTGACCTATGATCCAGGAGGTCATGGTTCAATTCTTGGTCAGGGCACATGCCCAGATTGCAGGCTCGATCCCCAGTGTGGAGTGTGCAGGAGGCAGCTGATTGATGATTTTCTCTCATTGATGTTTCTATCTCTCTGTCCATCTCCCTTCCTCTCTCTGAAATAAAAATATATTTTAAAAATAAATAAAATACACTTCTTTTCTAGGTCAAGGAGATGTAAACTAAAAGGCCAAGCATTTGGCAGAATGGAAGAGTGGCAGGAAGGGAAGTGGGCAGAAGAGAGAGAAAGATGGAAGGTGAAGAGAAAAGGAGGAGAAAAATGATTTATCAACACATTCTATTTTCTGTGAAATATTTGGGGTGACTTACTGAAGGTGTAGATGATAAAATATTAAAGTATATAAATATGTTAGCAGTTTGAAAAATGTCTCATCATGCGGATTAGGAGGTGGAGCTAGGAAGAAATGTGGAGAAAACACAGGCAACGACATGCACAAGGGCCGCAGAAGAGATAAAAAGCAAAAAGCTCTAGAGGAGAAGTGGCTTCAATCCTTGAGATCAAACCCCCACTGACCTTTTCTTCCAACTGGACTTCAGATCAAAGGCCCAGTCCACCTCGTACTTGGACCTAACATTTCCCTGAGAGCACACCAGAACTGGGGAAGCTGTGCTGGCGGGAATGTTTTAAATGAATGACGTGTGTGTGTGTGTGTGTGTGTGTGTGTGTGTGTGTGTGTGTGTGTGTTTTCTAACCTTAAGGGCCATTCTGGAGAGCCAACATTTCTGTGAAATTGGGTTTACAAAGGTGCTTACTAAGCAGATGCTTTCCAGAAAAACACATGGACAAGATGGTTAATAAATACAACAGGCATCGACGTCACCAAAGGACATAAAGCCTTAAGAACGTAACACGGCATTAGGTTGGGAACATCAAGTAGATACCACATGACACACTGCTGCTCTCGAGAGGGAACCTGAGGACACATGTCCACATCTTCCTCATCTCCACTTCCATCCTACCCTTTACTCGGCTGTGATGTGGAGGCATTCCAGCCTTCACCTGGGGCAACTTCACAGTCCCCACACTCAGCAAAGCAGGAAAAATGCCCTCTGCCTAGTCTCAGGTTCCCAGTTCCAACACACGATAGAGGGTTTCTACGTCCTTTTTCATTCCAGTCTACAACTTTCCTTCTTTGCAGATGCCATACTGACTGCACTGACAGTAGCTTGTCCACTAACGAGAGATACTAAATGCTTAACCACAGAAGGGCGGGTGAAGGTCACTGTGATGGTGACCAACGTGACGCCCTGTGAAAAGTTTGGGAGTTCAATTCCACTGCCTAATAACAAGCTTTGATCCCCCCACACAGGGCGAGAACGTAAAACGTGTTCAAGACTACGCATGTACCTATGTTTGAAAATATTTCCATTTCACACCTCACAGCAGAGACCGAGTATGTGAATAAAAGGGAGTCTAATATATTTTAAGAGGTCTAGCATGTGTCTCAACAAGTTTTAAACTCCCCATAAAGGCTGAATACTGAGTCCCCTGGGGTGGAAGGGCTCCAGCCGGAGAGTCTGGGTTTAAGAGAGAGGGTGCTCCTGCATTAAGATGTTTCCGCACGTTGGGTAACGATAGGTGTCCGCGTATTCTTTAACTGGACCACCGCTTGGAACTGAGGTCCACTTGGTTCAGAGGTTTAAGAACTACAGAAACGTAGCTGCTTTCATCCATCGATAATTATGTAAACAGAATGTACCCTG